CAATTTTATTTCATAGAGTCAAGGAATGGTTTGGAGTGGAAAAGACCTTAAAGATCCTCTTGTTCCAACCCTGTGCCATGGGCAGGGACACCTTCCACTAGACCAGGTTGCTCCAAGCCCTGTCCAACCTGGCCTTGAACACTTCCAGGGCATCCACAGCTTCTCTGGGCAACCTGTGCCAGGGCCTCACTTCCCTCACAGTAAAGAAATTCTTCCTAATATGTAATATAAATCTCTCCCCTTTTAGTTTAAAACCATTCCCTCTTGTCCTTTTACTATCTATCTGTGTACAAAATCTCTCTCCCTCCTTTTTATAAGCCCCCTTTAGGTACTAGAAGAGGGTCTAAGGTCTCCCCAGAGTCTTCTTTACTCCAGGCTGAACAGCTCCAACTCTCTCAGTCTGTCTCCATAGCAGAGGTGCTCCAGTCTTCAGATCATCTTTTTACCCTCCTCTGAACCTGCTGTAACAACTCCATGTCTTTCTTGTGCTGAGATCCTCACCTGTAGAGACTGGTTACCTTACTTCCTATTGACACCTGCAGCTAAGACCATGATCCTGTTATCTGTGTGTCCAATACCATCTGAGGTGTGTTATTTGATTCAAGGCATCTAGACCAGCCTGGCAAATATGAATCCGGATTGGCAAGAGGTGTCCATGCTTCCACAGCTGAGTAGGATGCTCCAAAGCACCTAAAAGGATACTAGATAGTCATGTTTAGGCAAGCGAAGCCCATCGTGTGGGCATGTTTTAGTTGTCTGGACAAAGATGTTTAATGCTTTTTGAAACATTCATGGGTGTGACTGCTGGCTCAAAGGACAGCCCAGGCCTGTGTCTATCTGCCAGCCCAGTGGAGATGCCTCAGATTCCCTAAGGCATCAAGAGCTGCACAGTTGACCAAAAGCATGTTTCTACTTAAAGCTGAGTTAACTTATCCATTAGACCCCATTAACCACATTATCTGGGACCCATTCATTTGCCTAGACATGGGCATTTAGTATCCTTTGGGATGGGCAAGTTCTGAAGTTCTCCAGTAACTCCCGTCTGTGACAGATCCTGTGAGAGATGAAGTACCAGAGAAGATGCCTAAACTCAGGCAGTTGATTCAAGTCTTAATTTCTGTTCACTACAGAGAGCAGCAGCACAGATTTACAGACACATTACACCAGTAATGCCTGGAACTTGGCAAGTTTGTAGCAGGGTATTTTTCCATGATTTCCCGAGTACTGATCCCAGGTTTCTAATCACAGAATCATCTTTTATCATTTTGATAATGTGATTCTGTATTTTAAAGCAAAGCCCCCTTTTTCTTTTAATTTTTTTATTTTTATTTTTATTTTTTTATTTTTTTAAATTTTTTTATTTTTATTATTTATTTTTTATTTTTATTTTTTTTTGTTTGGGTTTTTTGCCTTTTTTTTGTTTTTGTTGATTTGAAGGAGTCTGATGTTGATGAAGAGATTTCTTATTCAGCGTTTGATAACATCGTAAAAATATCTTTTTGGAGAGATGGAGAAAAATCTTTTCTGTGGGAGTCTTTTGGCAACCCATTTTGAAATCAAGATCACTTAAGTTTTGCTATATTAAATGTAGATGGATCCCTGTCACATGTCAAACGTCCCAAGTTTCCTTTTTCTTCAAAAGTTATGGATTACTTTTGCTCAGAGGCAATACTAGAAATAAATACACTGCTGTCTGACTGGTTGTTTCATCAAAAGAGCTACTGGTCAAGCCAACCTTGTGATTTTCAGGCCCTTATCCTGTTGTGTACTTCCAGGAGAGCAATTTTAAACCCTGTGATTTCTTTTGCTCTGATTTGTTTAGCATAAACCACATCTCCATTAAATTTAGTGGAGCTGTGAAGTAGGTTGGATTGGTTTCATAATGTAGAGGTCTGTACTGCAGAGCTACATTAGGTTTGACTCTCTTTAGTCCCCTAGTAAATTAAAGGAAAAAAGAGATGGTACCTGGGTAAAATACAGCTTAATTAAAATACAGCTTAAATTCTAATCAAGTAAACTGCTCTAAAAGTGACATTTCTTCTTAAAAATAGAAAATTATTCATAGCTAGCTGATTTGGAGATATTTGTACTGCAGAGGTCTACAGTATGGACAGCTGAACGCCCTTCCCATCCCACCCCTTCCACGGGTGAGAATCTGTTGCAGGTTTTTCTGCGCATGATTAGCAACACACATTTTTCATAATTCATTTATTACAATGACAAGGCCTTGTTAACTAAAAGAAGCTAATTTTTTGCTTAGACAGATGTTAACCTCCAGGTGTGCAAGCTTTTCTACAAGGAGAGCTGCATGAATTCTCCTGGAATACCAACTGCACAGACTATTTAAATAATGTTACACCATTGGACATATTGGTCAAAAAGGAAGATACAACATGACTACCCCCAATCAATAGGAATGCTTTACATAATTTTATGAAGCTTGAATTATGGATGTAGTGCCTGGGATCAAAGCAAACTCTGTATTTTATGTTTGTGGTGTAAACACTGATGTCCAGCATGATGCTTTTGGTAAGCCCAAAGGGATTAGCTCAAGAGCAGTCACAGTTTATTCATATTTTGTGCAATAAATCCACATGATACAACAATCTACATGAGATACTCTTTGCTTAAGAGAAACCATGACAGCCCTTCTTGGTACCCAACTTGGGGCTTGAAGGGTTTGAGATAACTACAGATTTGATTCCAGTGTGCAAGATGAAATTTATCACTGTTACTGCTGTTTAGCTCTTAATTGTCAGACCCTAGGAAATATAAGATAGCAGGAGGTGCTGCACACAGCAGAGCCACAGCAGTACCAAGAATCTCTCCAGGAAGTGTCAAAGGATGGCATAGACAGAAAAGATTAATCACAAAAGTAGGTTCTCTGCTTGCATCTCCCATCTTCTTAGGAGCCAACCTGCCAAAATTTATAACCATGTTAAACCCCACTCATGCGGAGTACATCCCTTCACTCTTAGCTAGACCATATCAGGAGTCTATCATCCAGTATTTCATCTGGGGTCCCCAGCAAAGGAAGGACACTGACCTGTTGGAGTGATTCCAGAGGAGGCCACCAAGATGATCAGAAGGATGGAGTAGCTCTGCTATGAGGAAAGGCTGAGGGAATTGGGAATGATTGGCCTGGAGAAGAGGAGGCTCCAGGGTGACCTAACTGTGACCTTTCAGTACCTGAAGGCAACCCACAAGAAACATGGAGAGAGAGAATTTACAAGGGTCTGGAGTGACAGGACAAGGGGGAATGGATTCAAACTGAAAGAGAGTAGGTTTTGACTAGATATTAGGAAGAAATTCTTGACTGAGGGTGGTGAGGCCCTGGCACAGGTTGCCCAGAGAAGCTGTGGATGCCCCATCCCTGGAAGTGTTCAGAGCCAGGCTGGACAGGGCTTGGAGAACCTGGGGTAGTGGAAAGTGTCCCTGCCCATGGCAGGGGATTGGAACAAGACGTGCTTTAAGGTCCCTTCCAACTCAGGCTATGAATCTATATCCTTCCATTAATGGCACCATTCATATGACTGGGATGAGATGTATCTGGCCAAAGGAAAACATTTCTGTAGGTCAGACATTTGTACCTTAAAGTTGCCTCTTTCTCTCTGATGTCTATTAAAGAATCCCAAGGCAAGTAAATCAGGTGTTATCATGTGTACTGTAGATATCTTAAGCTCAATAAAGTGAACCTTATATAAAGTGACTCTTGAGTTTTGTCAAAATTATGTCACAAGTAACCTCATTTTCAAAAAATATCTAGAGATTTTAGAAGCCTCTTCTGCTGAAAGCCCAGCTCAGACCATGGACCATGGACTGTCAGATGAAGTTACTTAGCTTGTTGCTTTTCAAAGAAAAATCAAATGTTCCTTGGTAATTTCTGGTTGATGTTCATATAACCTATTTTTAAAGATCTGAAATACTGAAGATTGTAATCTTTTACTAAAAGATGTTTCTTAACATATAGCCACAATTGAGCTTTAGTGCTTAATCTCAGGTTCACAATATTAAGCAGAAAATTGAGGTATTTTTTTACTCAAAATAGGAGTATTCTAATAGCAACAGTCAAAGGAAAAAAAAGCAATATAATTTCAAAATAGATCTATATTAACCATACTTTTCTGGGAAAATAAATAGGCTTGTTTTTCATCTTCTAATTAGTAGAGACAAATGATACAAAATAAGTCTTGAAAATCAGAATTAAACTGGCTGTGGAGACTTATTATATGGGAGATCTAGTTTCTCTTGTTGATTTATGGACTCATTTGCAAAATCTATAACATATGTTGACTTCTAACATTTACTGACTGTTTTGTCTTATCTTTTTATGTTCAGTTGATACTTCTGAATCAGCACTACTGCAAAGGTAAATCATAGAATCACAGAATGGTTTGGGTTGGAAGGGACCTTAGAGCTCATCCAGTTCCACCCTCTGCCGTGGGCAGAGACACCTTCCACTATCCCAGGTTTCTCCAAGCTCTGTCCAGCCCAGCTTTGGACAATTCCAGGGATGGAGCAAGTGTTACCCTTCTATATGTATCACTCTCTCTTACCTGGAGACCTTTACTAAGAGTTGGAGCCTCTTGTTCTAGCAAAGACTAAGAAGTCAGTGCCATCCTCAGTTACTGTCCCGGGAAATTCCAATAACCAGCAGATCCTGGAATATCTTATTCAGACCAGTGTGAGTTAGATGGGTGAATGAATTAAATTTAACATAATTGATGGACAGAAGAGATGCATGAAATAACCATGGAATAGACAAAGCCATCAGATTCCTCTGCCATCTCCCTGATAGTCTGATAGTCCAGACACCCAGATCCACCGAGCTCCAAGTCCTCCTCTCCCCATCCAGCCAATGTCCTGAGGCAACCACTGTGCCCATGTTAGACACACCTCCCACTGCAATGCATAATTTTCTCATCTGGGTCATATGAATAATAACAGAGACAGGTCTTTTTTTTTAATTTTTTTTTTTTTTTTAATTTGATGTTGCTTTCAATCTGGTGTTATTTCAGCATTAAATGGCTGAATTCACTGGCATCCACTGAGCTTTGTAACTCCTTGCAAACCAAACCATATGTCAGGGCTCTGCTGTAGCAAATTTAAGAGTCTGCCATTTGGCTTGGAGATTTTTGCTTCCTCTTGGTTCATACTTGAGCTGCAGTTCCTACAAATCCTGTGAATACAAGAAAATTCCCTTCTTAATTCAATCCCGCAAACTAAATTGACTTCTCTTTTTGTAAAATTTTCTCCCACAACTGACATATTTTATATTTTTAGTCCTTCCTTTAGGAGGAAGAGGTATTGTCCACTTCTTTTAGCTTGTCCGGAATTATTTATGACAAAGTAAAAAAACCTGTTAAAACAGAAAAGAGCAGGCTTTAAAGAATAAGAAAGTTGTCAACACTTTGGCCTTCACTAGCTCAGGGCAAGAGCTGATGCCTCACACTTTCATGGAAATGAAGATGTTAATGAAGAAACAGGGTAGAGAGTGAGAAAGAGAAGCAAAGAATGTGGTTTGTGGGCCTTTATTTTGTAAATATTTGGACCCGTGCAAATTTGTTAATTGAGGCAATTGATTTTTGCCTGAAAATGGTAGCAAGGTCTAATTCATTAAAGCCTAAAATAACATCCTTTGGGCTAAACAGGGTCATTTCATTTGTAACCTTTTAGTGATGTATTAACAATTTGGAAGCGTTTTGGTGCATATCTTAAAAAGTACCACATTAACAGGAACAGGCCTGGAGAAAGAAAAAAAATGAAGAAGTTCCACACGCGCGCGCACACACACACACACACACACACAGAGAACACATGGCCTCCAGCCCCTGTCCTTCCTCTTCTGCAGCATTTTAAGGTCTGTGTTTAATATTGCCAAGCCTACTTGAGTGATAAATGCAACTGTATAAAAATTACTTATTACAAGCTGTCATGTTGCCTCACTCACATGGCAGGGCTGCAGGCACTGTACATAAAGCTCGAATCTCCACCTTGACAGCATCGGCAGCACCGGCTTTAAAATAAAATGCTTTCAGTCATGAATACAAAACATAATTTACCTTTTCATAATACTTCAGTTTGGAAACACTTTGGAAAGCTCATGTTACCGTCAAACCTTTACCTGAGCTGTGCCAGCACCCAGTTAATTCCGAGTTGTCAATTTACCTCAGCGCTGCTTTCCATCACTCAGCCTTTGAAGAAACATTAAGCTGTTCAAATTGCCATCCCCTTAATTTTTTTTTTTTAAAGTTATATTTATCCTCAGTTCTTTGGCGGTGAGTAGCTGACACAATAGGATTATTCCAAGCATTAAATTACAATTTGGGAGAGTGCCTGCTTGCTATGTTTCTTTTTCAGAACCCTCCTCACTTGCTGTGTGTTCACGGCGTCAAGAAATATTCCTGACTCCCATCCCCTGCTTTCCCCCCGCACCTTTTCCGTAGAGTCCGGTTACACAATTCCCCTTGAATTGCTCCCCCCTTCCAATGTCTGGCCGAGATCAGAGGTTTAATTCCTTGCTGTGGTAGCCCAGCCACCCCTTTTCTCCTGCATTAATACTGTACTGATGCTTAAACATAAAAGCTCAGTGTAAGCTGTGAATGTCAGAGAGATGGAAATTGGAAGTGAAGGTTCCAGGGAGCCTGGCCGGGTAACAAGTGATGCGTTGTGACTGTTTTTATAGTTGGTCATGATGCATACAGTATGTGAAGTTCCCATCTGTACTGGTGTCTGCCCACCAGCCACCCTGCCACATTCGCAAAAGTGGCTCCAGCACCGAACGCAATAGGAACAGAACTGCAGATGCCTCCCTTTAGCCCAAATTCCTTTTGACAATGTTCACATCCAGTTAGGGCCCAAAGTGCTTGTACTTGTCAGGAGGGATAAGGAGTGAGGAAAGTAGTCCCTTTTCAAAAGCGAAACAGAATTGCCAAAGGAAATATTTTCTCTTCTTCTCCCCCTCCTTTCCCTCTTCAGCTGCCCCTGCCTTTGCAACTCCCTCTCCTCCCCTCCCTCCTCCACAGATGCAATGTCCAAAAAAAGAAAAGGAAAAAAAAGAGAAAAAATAATTAGATTGGCATCTCTGATACAGCTCTACAGCAATTGTCTTTTTTTTTTTTTCTCCAGCGATTGGTGGAGAAAGGGAATACAACTGGGAGAGAGGCAGGGAGGGAAGACTTTGGATTTGACAGGGCTGACTACAACAGCCCACAGGAGACATATCGTGCCCACGAGCTCTGGGATTCAGCTACAGGGGGATTTGTTTGTCCCTAGTGGGTTGCTTTGCTGGCTGACAGGAATGGGTGTATTTCCTATGCTATTTGAAGCTATTTTGATTCCACCCATACAGATATCACTTGGTTAGCAACAAAATCCATTTCCCTTTATATTCTTACCCTTTCTTTTTCTTTTTTCTTTCTCTTGATTTTAATTTATTTATGGATCATTTAACGAATAAAGGCTATGATACTACTGTTCATGACACAGGCAGAACTCAAAGGTTTCCTGGTTCTCACGCCTGATGACAGGTCTGTGATCCTCAGCTTGCTCTGAGCACAGCCCTGTGAGTTATTTTCCACACCTGTAAAAGAGCAGAATAGTGCACAACTCTTTCGGTAGAGAGCTCTGAAAGATGCTCAGCCTTTACTGGGAGGATTTCTGGTGATTGATGCATTAGACAGCACAGCAGGTTTCAGAATAATGGAATGGTTTGGATTGGAGGGGACCTTAAAGCTCATCCAGTTCCACCCCCTGCCATGGGCAAGGACAACTTCCACTATCCCAGCTTACTCCAAGCCCTGTCCAATCTGGCCTTAGACACTTCCAGGGAGGGGCAGCCACAGCTTCTCTGGGCAACCTGTGTCAGGGCCTCACCACCCTCACAGCCAAGAATTTCTTCCAAATATCTAAGTCTATTCTCTTTCAGTGTGAGACCATTGCCTCTTGTCCTGTCACTTCATGCCCTTGTCTAAAGTCCCTCTCCAGCTCTCTTGGAGCCCTTTGAGATACTGGAAGGCTTTAAGACAATAAGTGTTTATAATCAAACAAGTGTTGACAGCTGTGACATTTCCACGGTACTCATCTTGCAAAGTTCCCTCACCTCAACCCAGTGCTCTCACCTGAGCATACCTGATGTAAAAGAAACTCCATCCAGTAAGTCCAGATAACTTGCAGAGATCCTTTCCAAACCTATTCCTACCTCAGTGGAAAACTTGACCCTGAGGAAGGATGATGTGAGGAAATTTCCTGTTCACATTGGAGTGAAGATGATTTGCAAAACCTAGGCTCTTAATCTAATACCTAAATAAATGATCTTACTATTTAAAAAAAATCTTCTTTGAATTTGGTACACCAATGCACCTGACATGTTGTCCAGCTATCTCCTTTTATGTTTTAAAAACAATAGGGATTCAATAGTAATAAGTATTGTATATATAAAATATATATTACACATGTAGTATTATGTATATACTATATTATATATATAATATTTACAGTATAAGAGAATATAAATTTGATAGGAATTAAGTTTAAATAAGGAGATCCCTTTCAGAATTATCCATATACGACTAAACACATTAGCAAATTTGAATTTTTTTCCAAGGTTTAGTTTTGAGCAGGTATAGAAATTTGGTGAAATTTAGGCATCCAAGCACCTTAAATATTTTCACACTACAGAAATAATGTTTTCAGTTCTGACAGGCATAGTCAGCAAACTGGCTGAACTGAGATTAAAACAGCAACAAAGCCAAGACCATTCAGGTTTCAATTTTGGATTATTGTAACTCATTAAAAAAATCCCTTGTATAGGAATCTTGGGCTGAATTCCAGTCATTTGGCTCAGGTGATTATGACTTTCCTGTTATTTTATCCCTTGTCCTGGGTAGCTGCAGTGCAGCCTCTGGAATCTCTGGCACGTGGGACAGCAAAGAACACGTTTATGGGCACTGCATGTTCTGAAAAAGCATTCAAGCAAAGTAGGCTCAGCTCAGCTTTCTGTCACTGCTGGTTCCTGAAAATTCAGTTGTGTTTTCCTGGTTCTTCAGGAAGAATTGCAGTGTTGCACAAGACAGCTGAGGGGCTACATCCAGGCTGTTGACATAGTGTAGCAACATGACTGTAAACCTGGAGAATAGCCAAAGGGAATGAAAAGGGGAGGAGTTCCCCCCAGCCACCCAACCACCCCAAAACAATCCCAAACAACCCAAAACAATCTTAAGATCTGGAAGATAGTTATGAAGAAACTGGCTTTCCAGTAGTCCTGAAGCCCTGGATTTTGTTCCTGGAATAGCTGAATGAGCTTTTCCTGCATATTCTCCTAATCTCAGATTTGATCGGACCCATCTGGCCACCTCACAGTCCTAAAGAGGAAACAGAAAATTTCAGGGAGGGCAGAAAACAGCAACTTGCAACAGTATCCAGGCTTCATGCCTCGCTGAATCCATATTTAGTCTCAACATCTGCAGGGATGCTCAACACAGGCTTTTTTTCCACTTTCCAAAACAACCATCTGATGGAGGGAGTGAGGCTGATTTATCACGAAGGGATTCAAAGGGAAATGGGGCTGCAGAACAGCAGTGTGAACTGGCATTACACAAACAACCTAAAAATAAAAGGAGAAGAAAAAATAAAAGAAACAGTTTAATGGGATTAGAATAACTGACATCTTATCTTCAGTCTTGATAAACAAATAAGAGTTCAGTCATCTCTTTCCAAAGTTTAATGTAGCTAAATGCTATTTTTTTATTTTTTGAGATAGTACAAAACCAGCCCAGGCAAATCCATACCAAACTCACAAAACTGTCATCATAAGGGTTTCCTTCATTGGGAGAACAGTCATTCCAATGCTGAGACACTCTGGGATTTCACTATGTGGAAATGATGGCACAGTCAGCTCAGTCACTGGCATTTGGATGAGATTTAGTCAACAGTTTTCCCTCTTTCTCTGCAGTTCACTGAAGAAAAAGTTTGATGGTAAATGGAGCTGGAGATGATCACTGGAAATTCTCTGAGGTCTTATCTACAACTTTAGTTTCTAAATGATAAATACTCAAGATCAGTCCACTGCTTCTCACACATAAATAAAGTTTCAAAAAGGGAGATGATCTTGTGTTGAAATATTGAAGTAAGACTCCAGTGGCTCCTTCCTAGACTCCCTATGCAATCTCAGGGAAGTAATTTAGGTCCAACTCTCTTCAAGTTTGAGATATACTCCAAAATTATTTGCTAAGCTTCCTTCTACATACAGTGGGAGAGGCAGGAACCATGGGGTGGAAATAGAGGAGTATGGGAGGATCTGTTCTCTCCTTCAGGAGACGCTGGATAAAGAACTCTTAGTGTACTCCCACAGTTACTTGAAATCATCCCTGGACAGAACAGACACAGAAAAGAGTTGTGCTGTCCCTCTTGTACTGTTGTTACCCCACTCCCTGGTGCTGGAGCAAGCTCTGCTGCAGACACCTCATGATATGATCTCTTAGAATCACAGAATTCTTGGTTGGAAGGGAACTCAAAGCTCACCTAGTTCCACCCTACTGCCATGGACAAGGACACCTTCCACTAGACCAGGTTGCTCCACGCAGCATCCAACGTGGCCCTGAGCACTTCCAGGGATGGGGCAGCCTCAGCTTCTCTGGGCAACCTGTGCCAGGGCCTGGCCACCCTCACAAGGAAGAATTTCTTCCTAATATCTAATATAAATCTCTCCTCTTTTAGTTAAAAAACATTCCCCTTTGTCCTATCACTGCATAACCTTGTCAAAAGTCCAGCTCCAGCCTTCTTGTAGACCCCCTTTTTGATCTCTTTAGATAAGAACCTGAAAAATACTGTATTTGTCCTGATCAGATTTCAGATGTGATTTCTGAGCACTAGTGCCAGCGCAAGAGGTGTGACAGACCTGCAACACCCCTTTGTGGCATCAATCAAACTTCCAGAGGTATTAAAGTGCAGGCAAAACCTTGATAGTTTTGCTCTAAAGCATCATTTTAGGTGGGTCATGGCATGCGAGATGAATCCCACCTGTAGACTCAAGTCTATGCTGGATACTGAAGTGTTGCCCTAAAGATCCACTGATGAGCTCACCGAGGATTGGGAAGCAGGACTATGCTTTATTAAATATCTTGTTTCTGTCCAGGTAATAATGTAGACGAAATAATATTTATTTCAAGTTAAGGTGTGCTCGAGTTAAGGGATTGCTCAGGGATTGTGTTGGATGCCCTGCAGTCAGGCTGGTGGTATCCCCATTTTCCCTCACTCTTCCCGTGCCTGCCAGTGAAACAGGGCTCGGATACTTTCCTTGGCTCTGTTGTCACCTGCCATGCTCCAGCCATCCATACCTAAATCCTCTTACTGCCTAAAAGGGACCCAAACTGCCTATTAGAGTGTTATAAACCAACTCCTGGATAACAGCAGAGATTTCTTTGGGACAGTGCTGATGCCTTGGGCTAAAAACAAGTCAGTGGCCAATTCAATAGCAAAACAAAATTAATAAGCTCCTATTCTAAATGACTGGACATCAAGCCAACTCCCTGCAAAGGTTTCCAGACCCTTCAGCAGAAATAAGCAGTGAATTTTTACATTAAAACTATGCAAAAGCCCTTGTTACAGCACACAGCCAAGTGGTGTTTTGTTTCTTTAAATTTCACTGGGAATTTTTAGGAGGAAATTAGAAGCTGATAACTACTAGGGAATTTTAGGAGGAAGAAAAATGAAAGCTGTGTTTGCACAGGTTTGTGCAGTTGGAAATAGCTGAGTTTCACATGCCTCTGGCTCTTACGTTGAATTCCAGCTACTGCAGTTTACTACTTTGTCTTTTGGCTTAAGTGTGCACTTAACTTTTTTTGTCCACTGACTGCACAAAAAGAAAATATAAACTCTTCTTGTGACACAATCTCTCTCATTTTTACCCTTTTTAAATTTCTTCCAGTGAACCCCCCCCCCCCAGCTTTGGTGTGCCTGATTAGGGAGGAAGAGTCCTCTGCTTTCTTGGTGAGCAGAGCTGGGATTGTGTGTGACACATGAGCAGAGTGCAGAAAAAAATGAAACGTGTGAAATTGCCTTCCAGTCCTGACCTGGAGGGACTGTCCAGAGACTGGAAAAGTCCACACACAATGTTCATTCATCTTCCCTGCTCACTGTATGAAGACTGTCATCAGGAGTGCCAGTCTGTCCCAGCTGAGTGATGTGCTATTTATCTGCTCAGAACTGAGTCTAACAAGTCGTTTTATGTAGCCTAGGAAAGCAAATACACATCTAGTGAAAACAATATCCAGCTTCTTCACCATCCCTGGAAGTGTTTAAGATCAGGTTGGACAGGGCTCGGAGTAACCTGGGATAGTGGAAGGTGTTCCTGCCCAGGGCAACAGGATTGGAACTAGGTGGTATTTAAGGTCCCTTCCCTCAGGTCACACCAAACTATGATTCTATGGTTCTATATCCTGAGTCAAATTTAAGCCAACAACCTAAAGTAAAGCACTTGCTATCTTGTTATAAATACTCTTGAAGACAATCAAGACCATTACAAGTCCCTTTGGTGCTCTCTCTGCTTTTAGAATTATACTATCTTCTTATTCTGGGTGGATTTAGGCACATTCAGGACCTTTGATATGAATCTATCAATCAGACCTGTCACTCTGTGTTGTCTTTCAGATCAAGGCGAGAAGTGGGAGCTTTTCCATTGACTGCACAAAAGGAAATGTTGATCCCTCTTATGACACAATCCTTTCTTTCTCTTTCTTCAGTTTTTGACAGGAAAGAAACCCCTTGTGAGTGATATCTCTTGCTTAGCCCCATCTTTGAACCAGGTTACTGCTTCAACTGGCTGTACTGGCTGGCTGTGAGTGTCAGTCATTTCAGATGAAGCCCTGTCTGCTTCTTCTCTGGTTCGGAAGTGGAAGGCTCTGAAAGCTCAGAGTATAAAATTGAAGAGTCTTTGAATTCAGTTTGATTATCCTCTTTTCCTTTTCTCTTCTTTTAAAAGTGAATGAGAAATGCAGCAGTTTCTCATGCACAAGCATCTTTATAGTGTTTCTCTCTGGTACCACCAACACTGCTGATTGTTGTAGTTGAAGAAGGATAGCCCAGTCTGCAGGTAACCTTTCTTAACTGGGCTAACTAGTTTGAAAAACAATTTCTTTATAGTCTGGAAATTATTTTGTTTTTCATTCTTTTTGTACTTTATATCTGTTTTTTCAAACATCAGAGTAATAAAGGAGAAGACGGTGGTGAGGCCCTGGCACAGGTTGCCCAGTGAAGCTGTGACTGCCCCATCCCTGGAACTGCTTGGAGCAACCTGGTCTAGTGGAAGGTGTCCCTGTCCATGGTAGAGGGATGAAATGAGATGATCTTTAAGTTCCTTATCAAATCAAACCATCCTATGTTGCCATGATTCCAATATAGTTTACAACAGGGGTTTTTTTGTTTGGTTGGTGGTCTTTTCCCCTCC